ATTAATTTTAGCAGGATTTTTATCTTATTTGTTGTTTTGTATAATGGTAACTTTACTTGATGTCAGTAGTAATAATTTTGAGTTAAGTGTAAATTTATTCATCATAGTATTTTTATTTTTATTTTTTGTATTATGACGACACTCCTATCCTTGTACGTTGTAATTTTTAAGGTGTTTATGAGTGAATAAAGAATTTGAATTTGAATTTTGAATTTGACAAAGTGTTGAAATAAAAGTATACTGTGTTGTATTAAAATCAGAATAGAAAGTAAACAGCATTGAATAATAAACATTTAGGTTGCTATGGTAATAACTATAGCTTCATTTATGTCCATAACACATTTGATATTTGATGACATATTGTGCTGTAATTAGGACTTTATATCTTAGTTAATTATCGTATTTGAATCCTCGAATATATCCATCCATTAATATCAGGCTGTTCTCAAATACTAAAATATTGGTTTAACAATTCAAACTTTCGAGTATTCACATACCCTTACTTTCTAGGCCTCTAATATTTAATGTTGTATGCAGCACAGTATAGAATTAAACATAGTATGAAAAATAATCACTATGTGTTCTATTTCTTATTTAGATTAAAATTAAAAGATCAAAAGAAACTAAACTGTTTTTAATCAAGACATTAATACAAGACAATATTATTAAAGAAAGTAAATAAAAACATATGGTTAAATAATAATTAAATAATCATAGAGGTTGAACATCTTTCCCTTGTTTTTTTTTCTCAAAGTTTATTCAGGAAATCGTTTGGTTGGTCTTATAATTCTGCCTCTTGATGATTTTTTAATTGCAGCTTCTTGATTGGGAATTGTTGATCGTGAAAAAGATTTACTGTAATCTTGGGGTGTTCTAGATGGAGTAGTAGTTGCTTTTTCAGTAGTATTTGATAGGGACGAGTTGGTTTGAGTAACAGTAGTAAATGGCAGAGTATCTGGCATTGTATCTTTAATGGATAAAGGAATAGGATTGTTCGGTTTGGTTGTATTACCTTTGTAAGGCAAAAGGTGGTGTCGATTCCTTCTCAACGTAGTGTTTCCTGTCTTAACCCAGTATGACCTTGGCTTTTGTCCTAAGCTGATAATAATCCCCTCTCTTTTTAGGTCTTGGATCCATACTTTTTTACCTACAGGCAGCGATGGAAGTTCTTTTGTAGCGTAGCGCCTATCGTAGTTTCTCTTGTAAGATGCTCTGTAAGTATCTTCTTTTTCCTGTAGTTGGGAGAGATCGGGTTTGATTTCAAGTTTTTTAGGTAAAACAGGCAGATTATCTCGCAGTGATCTGTTGTATATTAGCTGAGCAGGACTGTATCCACTTGTGGATAGAGGTGTATTGCGGTAGGTTAGGAGGGCCAAATATGGGTCGTCTTTGTTTTTCTTTAGTACACTCTTCGCTATTTTGACTGCAGCTTCAGCTGCACCGTTACTTTGGTGGTAGCTTGGACTGCTCGTCACAAGTTTAAAGTTATAGCTTTGAGCAAACTTTTTGAATTCAGAGTTTTCAAGACCAGTGTATCTGGTAGCAAACTGTGTACCACAATCAGATCGTAGCTCAATTGGTATACCGTGACGGCAAAATACAGATTTACATTTTTCGATTATTTCAGCAGTTGACAGGTTTTTTAATGTAGCTATTTCAAAATAACGTGAAAAACAGTCAGTGATTACTACGAACCATGTTCCTTCAAGTTTAAAGAGATCAATCGCTGCCTTTTCCCAAGGACGAGATGGAAGCTCACTGGGCAAAAGGGGTTCATGATGTTGTGTTCTATGTTCAGTACATTTAGGACAATCATTAACAAATTTCTCAATGTCAAGTGACATTCCTGGCCACCACATACTATTGTTGGCTCTAAGTCGACATTTCGTTATGCCTAGGTGGCCTGTATGTATTCTTGTCAACATTTCTTGTCTAAGAGTTGTCGGGATTATGAGACGTTCTCCTCTAAGCAATAGTCCGTCACAAAAAGAGATTTCATCCCGAACTGTGAAATATGGCTTAAGATTATCGGGAATCTTAGTTTTATCAGGCCATTCAGTTGAGCAGTAAGATTTAATTACCCTGAGTTCTGAGCTAGCCCGCTGTGCCGATGCAATTCTATCAAGAACCATGTCAGTTACATAGGCAATGTTTCTTGTTACTGTGTGGATGGCCAGTTCAACTTCCTCATCCAAATCATAACTCTCATTAGTTGCTACAGGGCTTCTTGAGAGACAATCAGCAGTTGCTAAATGTTTGCCAGGAGTATATGTAACATTGTAGGAATATCTCATCATTCGAAGTCTGAGCCTTTGAAGTCGGGGTGTCATATCATTGACCTCTTTAGTAGTCAAAATACTTACTAAAGGTTTGTGATCTGTTTCCAACATGATGTGCTTGCCCACAATATAGTCTTTAAACTTGTCACAGCTCCATGTTAGAGATAGAGCTTCTCGTTCAATGTTAGAGTAGTTTCGTTCGGTTTCGCTCAGAGTACGTGAAATATAAGAAATAGGTTTCCAATTTCCATCTGTTTGTTGTTGTAAAAGTACTCCTACCAAGCCTTGTGTTGATGAGTCAGCAGAAATCATAGTTGGTTTATCCTTGTCATAGAATGCTAGTTGAGGTGGAGATGCCAATAATTCTTTAAGTTCATTGAATGCTTTCTGTTGTTCAAACCCCCAACACCATTCGTTTTTTCTACTTAGAAGGTCGGTAATGGGTTTTAGTAATCTACTTTTGTTAGGTATGTATTTGCCAATAAAGTTAACCATGCCAAGTAACCTTTGTACACCCAAAATATCTGTTGGAGGTGCCATTTTTCTTATAGCTTCGACTTTCGTCTCATCGACTTTGATTCCTGATTCGGATAGATGGTGACCTAAGTAGGTTAAGGAGGTTTGAGAGAACAAACATTTGTCTCTGTTTAAGGTGAAGCCTGCACGTTCAAGTTTGGTAAGTACTTCTTCTAAGAAATAGTCATGTTCTTGTTGAGTTTTCCCCCAAACAATTATATCGTCCATGTGCGCAAGTGCATTCATTTGACCTTTAAGGGTTCGATTCACGCATTCCTGGAATACTTCTGGTGCAGATGTTATTCCAAAGGGTAGTTTCAGAAATTTAAAGCGTCCAAACGGTGTCAGAAACGTTGTCAAATCTTGGGATTCTTCGTCCAATGTGATCTGCCAGAATCCATTATTAGCATCCAATTTAGAGTAGCATTTTGCTTCTGAGATTTGGGCAAGTGTTATGTCGATGGGTTGAATAGGATAGTATCTTCGTTTGACGCATCTGTTTAATTTAGTAAGATCGACACAGATGCGAACTTTGTTAGAGTCCTTCTTTGGTACAACAACCATTGGAGAGCACCAGTCTGTGGCATGGTGTACCTCAGCAATCACCCCCATTGACACCATTCTTTCAAGCTCTTCTTTAGTAGATTCCCAAAGAGGAAGAGGAATCCGACGAGGTGTGTTGATTGCAAATGGATTGGCGTTATTTTCCAGTTCTACTTTGTATTTAACATCAATAGAACCTAAGCCTTCAAACAATTTAGGGTGTCTGTTATACCAGTCATTACAGGATGGCTGTATTTCATTGATTCGAGCAAGTAACTGCAAATTTTTTATTGCAGGTTTACCTAGAAGGGGTTGGGAAGTGCCCTTTGAAACATATATAGTCTCATAACATGTTTTGTGATTATGGGATAGTTTGACTGTAGCAGTTCCCAAAATTGACAAAGCTTGACCATTTGCGCCGCTAAATGTTTTGGATGTGGGATTCAGTTTGATTTTCTTGTTCAATTTAATGTCGGAAGGCAAAATCGTTACGTCTGCTCCTGTATCAATTTTGAAAAGAACATCATCACTGTCGTTCATATTTAACACTACGGACCAAGGATCATCACGTACGGTTTTGTCAACAGAGCCAATTTGAGGGTCTATGTACTGAGAGCAAACATTTTCGGTGGGGTTTTCTAGGGGAGAATCATTATATTCAATTTGACTGACTTTGTTTGATTTGCAAACATTTGGGAAATGACCGACTTTTTTACAAAACCCACATTTGTATTGTTTAGCTGGACAGTTGAATCTTTTGTGTAAAACTGTCGAGCCACACCAAAAACATCTCTTTTCGACATTGGACAGGCTTTTTATTGTCATTAATTGGCTTAAAGTATCGATTATTGTTTGATTTATCAGCAGAAATGTTTGATTTACTTAAATGTTGAGTGTTTTGGTTTATTAATGCTATGTCAGCCAAGTTTAGTGTTTGTTTCTGTCTTGTTAGTTCTTCAGATCTACGGATAGTGTTAATAGCTGTGTTAAGTTTTAATTCGGGTTCAAGTTGAAGACGATCACTTAGTGATTCGTCCTGCATACCAATAATCAAAACCATCAGAATCATCTCCTCTTCAATCTGACCCCAATCACAGTTTTTTGCATGATTGTGAAGGTCTGTGATGAAGTTCTCAATCGGCATGGAACCCTGTTTAAGTTTTAGAAACCTAGCCCGTTCAAAAATTAGGTTCTTTTTTGGAAGGAAATGATCGTCAAACTTCTTTAGAACAACTTTGTAATTAGATTTGTCATTGCCATTTAACCTGAATGAGTTAAGTATATCCTCTCCCTTTTCCCCCATACAGTATATAAGCATGTCAATCTGATGCTTACCAGAATGTAGAGCTAAATTGCTAAGGGAATAATACCTCTCAAAGCGAGTCTTCCATGTCTTCCAGTCGTGAGGATTGAAGGAAAAGGCTTCAGGAGGCTTAATGTTCAGGGATACGGGTTCTTCATTCGACTGCGCCATGTTCTATTTCTTATTTAGATTAAAATTAAAAGATCAAAAGAAACTAAACTGTTTTTAATCAAGACATTAATACAAGACAATATTATTACAGAAAGTAAATAAAAACATATGGTTAAATAATAATTAAATAATCATAGAGGTTGAACACTATGTCCTAATAAGCAATGTATTTGACATGTGTTGTGCAGATATTTGAGCAGTTTGTGCAAGAGTCCCCACACCCTCCCCAGATCACCAACCACGACCCTGGTGTCTGGCGGCTGCTGCTGGTGAGGACCAACAAAGCTAAGCAGCTCATGGTGGTGGTTATGATCAACCCCACCACCCTGCAGCCAGGCGAGATAGAGATACTCAGGAAACAGCTGATAGATTTCTTCACCACCGGGCCTGCCAGCGGGAAAAACGTTGTGTCTCTATACTTCCACACTGACAATGATGTCAAGTGAGTATGACTTTTCAGTGTAGAACCTCGATTATCCGGGCTAATGGGGGGAGAGAGACCACAGATAACTGAAACCACGGTTAGTCAAACATGACGTAAAACTCCTTAGGCTTAATAAAGCCTAAAAATGTGTAAATTGAATGTGATGATTTACATATTACATCATCAAAATACAATTAGTAGGCTATTGCGCAATCATGATATGTTAATTCATTAACATTGTTTCACTAATAAAAACTGTAACGTTTAAAATCACAGTTTAGTCAAACTTTAACTCAAACAAAAGAATTTTCCAACACTGTACAGCAATATTAAATCACGTAAGGAACAGATTAATAGAAATTCTAGTAAGTACCTACGACTAGTCATAGGCACTTAGAAATACGTTGATACAGGAGCAGACGTAACGATTTTGCCTTCCGACATTAAATTGAACAAGAAAATCAAACTGAATCCCACATCCAAAACATTTAGCGGCGCAAATGGTCAAGCTACATTGCTGTTTCAGGACAGAAGAATGTCGATAAAAACATTGGATAACTCATAAAAAAGTATTAAACCATAGTATTTAACGATAACATGGTGTCTACTCTCCGGGAAAACCGGGAAACCTCCGGGAATTTTATCTTACCTTGAAATGTCCTGGAAAACTCCAGGAATCCACCCAGACCTCCGGGAATCGAAAACACTACCGCTTTTGTTGCCACGTTCGCAGGAAATGATTATCGGTGTTGCCGAAATCGCAAGATATGCCTACGGGTGTTGCCGCGATCGCGGGAGACGATTATCGGTGTCGCGGAAACCACGAGATATGCCTACGGGTGTTACCGCGATCGCGGGAGACGATTATCGCCATTATCGGTGTTGCCGAAACCACGAGATTTCCTCACGGGTATTGCCGCGATCGCGAGAGACGATTATCGGTGTCGCCGAAACTGCAAGATTTGCTCATGGGTATTGCCGCGATCGCGAGAGACGATTATCGGTGTCGCCTAAAGTGAGAGATATGCCTACGAGTGTGGGACGATGTCGAAGTTGGACAATGTTAAACGTGGACTACGATAGACACCGCCTCAATCAGACAACGATAAAGCAGACAACGATGAACCTGGACACATTCAAATGTGTCCATGCTTAACGTTGCCCGCAAACGACAAACCTGAACACATTTTTAAGTTGTCCAGGGGTGGCGTTTCACAACACGACGAAACTGGACACATTCAAATGTATCCAAGTTTAACATTGCACGCAAACGACGAACCTGGACACATTTTTAAGTTGTCCAGGGGTGGCGTTTCACGACACGACGAAACTGGACACATTCAAAAGGTGTCCGAGTTTAACGCTGCGCGCAAACAACGAACCCGGACACTCTTAGTTTTTGAACAGACTGTACACCAGGCTCATCAAATTCTCAGCCTCGCTCGGTTGGTAAACTCTGAATTAGCTTCCTAATACAGAAATGCCGTGAATACGCCTTATTGCTACAAGGCTTCTTTCTAACACACTGTTACTAATACACTGTGTTGTAGTGACTCATAGTCCACAAAACACATTGCACATTATAAATTCGGAAATTTAATTGCATGTTTATTTGGTCGTTGTAAATGTTTGCTGGATATTAATCAAAAATTAAAGCCTATGGGGCCTGGATACACCGTGTCCCAAATGAATGGATCAAATCTACAGCTTAATATACGTGTTGCTAAGGGTCGTAGAAAAGTTAATTAAGGCTCATTTTAAAGCTTTCATATTTTAAGTGATATTTAGTGCCCTTCAATAGTAATTAGCTGTCCATTGTTTTTGGCACGTTTGAATGTTCAAAACGTACATTTGCAATATGGAGCTGCAGCTGAAAGCAAAATTTGTTAATGGTTTATAGAAACGAAATATGTGGAGTGTTTTTGTCTGGGGGTTTGTCCTTGGGTTTTCAATGATTGAACAGTCGTCGACCTCTAACATGGATAAACTAACAAAATGAAGCAAACAAATGCCTTAGATTTTAAAGTTTTCGTGGCGAAACAACTGCTATAGAGCAGTCAAAATGTTATGGATTATTTAATTATGTGTAAATGGATCCTGCTCGACTAAACCTGTTTCACAATGTGCAGTCTATCGTATCCTACGATCACATATCGTACCTACATAGGTTGAAATAATAATACTGATTCGTTTGAGGATTATTTGAACAAAGCAGCAAAATAGCAGTGATACACAATGACAACATATCAGGCATGTATTTGAGATCGTTAGTGAATCCACTACGGGTAATACTTTGCAAAACAGTTACGTAACTATAACTACTTGGTTTTTCAATGATTAAACGTATCAGTCGTCAACCTCTAAAATGGATAAACTAACAAAATGCACCTGAACACTAAACATATAAACTAACTAACGTTTTCGTTTTTGAAACAGCTGCAATAGAGCAGTCAAATTGTTATGGATTATTTTATTACAAGCTGCTATACCCGTGCTTTGCAACGGGAAGAAAATTTGACTTAGAGCGCTATTAAAGTGGGGCTGATGTAAAATTTGATTGTATCACTTTAATAATATAATAGATGTGTAAATGGATCCTGCTCGACTATACCTGTTTCACAATGTGCAGTCTATCGTACCCTATAATCACATATCATACCTACATAGGTTGAAATAATAATACTGATTCGTTTGAGGATTATTTGAACCAAGCAGCAAAATAGCGGTGATACACAATGACAACATATCATGCGTGTGTTTGAGATCGTTGGTTCGGGGTCTAGGGGGTACCCCTTTTTTTAGCTCTCTTGGCATTGAAAGTAACCAACCCCAACAATACAGTTTGATTGTATAGTTTTACATTTAATTTAACAAAAAAATATTATATTTAAGAATAGAAGGGGGGGTCCAGACCCCCAGGACCCCCCCCCCTGGCTATGTCACTGTCCTCTCTTGCTTCTTCATGAATTACAATGGAAGAGAAATCTTGATGTTAAATTTATCTCATCTGTTACAACAATTGGTTATCACATCACTGGTTTCTTGATGTCACTCACTATTCACTGTTATGGTTGGTTGGTATTATATCAAGAGTATTTTAGTAATATTTTTGAAAATGAAAGAGAAGAATAATTTTGTAAAATAATTCAAAATGTATAAATAACTTCCAGTGATTACAAATTTTAGCTTATTAAATAATAAATGGCAATGTTTGAGGTGAATATGAAATATGGAAAATTTACAATAGGTGAAATCTTTTGCTCTTTTACTGTTTGGAAAACATATGATAATTCAGACATATTAATTTAACTAATAGTAGGCCTAGGTGTTTAGATACATAACACATGGTTTATAAACAAATTATATACAAATTGAAAAGTAAACAATCAGGATAATTTTGGAACATCTCAAATATCCCCTCAGAAATCTGGTATTTGAGTATCCAATACTAGATTTCAAATAATGTGAACAAAATTATCATGGAAAACATTAATATTGGAATAGGAAAATACCTCAAATTAATAAGTTGTATCATCTGAATAAGAGAAAACATAGTAATGAATAAGGTGAAACAAATACAAGTTTATAAGGTCTTGGGAGATTAAAATGAGGTATACAAATTCGGGAATGTTGCTGGAAGTCAACAGTGCCGGAAGGTCAAATAATTTATACCTGTGCCGCTAGGTCAAAAACTACAATGTTTGCAGTGTCTGTAGATCAAAAATCCCAGTAAGTCAAATAATGCAGTCCGTGCTAAAAACGTGGTCCATGTTAAAGCGATTGACACATTAGGAATTTGATCTAATGCAACAGCAGTTTTAATATAACGAAATACGGTAAAATACAAGTTCAGTTTCGCTGAGTCAACAGTACCGAAAGATCAAAAGCAATTAAAAGTGAACATCGATTCAGTTTAAAGTAGACCTCCTGCAACAATTACTACACAAACAAAACTCGCTTTTAGTTACTTTGTGTTTTGTCATAATTAGAATAGAGCTAAAATTATCATATTTGGTACATAGCTTATCTATTAGCTTCTTGCCAACTGTTTTGTCAACACTGTAATAGGTATAGTTTATGTAATGAAAAGCCTTTCGTCAAAATTTGTGGCATGAAATACACGCAAGGACGATCTGAAAATTTCTAGTTATTATATACGTTTGTAAAAGGAGATCCATTTAATTTTAGAACTATTTTATGAGTTATAATGTAGTCTACACATAAACAGTGTAAATGTATTACGCCTCGGAAGGGTTAAAACCTGTCCAAACTATCATATATATTATTAAATCGTAAATGGGGTTTTTTCACATTCTGAATCAACCAGTTGACGGATTTTCATTATTTATGTGTTGAAAGAAAGATAATTTTGAGAACTAGGGAATGTCAAAGCCATAATTATAATTAAGGGTTTCAGTTTTTTAGAAATTAAGTTTTAATTTTTAAAAGTCTAGCAGCCGATGCTAACCTTCTAAGCTAGCTTTTAGTACAATATAATTTGCTTAACATAACAGCTGTAAACATTCAGCATTTGTGTCACAAATTCAGCATTTGGAAACAAATTTAAAGACATATTTAGAGGTGACTTATTTATACTATGTGTAATGCTGACCATTGATACATTTAGGATCAATTTAGGTATGAGGATGGCAGATTAATTAAATATGCATAGTAAAATAGTAGGATGTTCAAATTATTTTTAGAGGAATCTTTGTAATCATCGATTTGTTTTAGTCCCATATAATTTGTTTTAACAAACAGCTGGTTGAATGTAATATTGTTCTATATAACTATTAGGTTTTTGGCGAATTTCCCATATAGGGAATAAGCTATTACCGTAGTACTTATGGTAACACCTGGACCCGGGACCGATTTAATTTTTCGTTTAGAGGCCAAAAACACCATCCGTTCAAATTCTGATATACAGGGTGATCAACTCAAGGAGGCCACCATTGGGAAATCGGAAACGGTAAGAATTAGAGAAAACTTTAAATGGGGGACATTCCTTTATTTTTTGT